GTTTAGGCTAGGTTTAGGGTCAAATGGTGATAAAAATACTGGTAAATGAATGAAAGTCAATGCCAAGTCCCCATGAGGATAGAAGAACAAACGTGTCTGTGTGTGTGTGAGGAGGGGACAGTCAGAGGAGACAAGCAGAGCGCTGCGGGGGAGGAAATCAGACAAACAGTTCAGAGTTTTCCTCATGAGTTGTTGGGACAGCTACAGGTTTTTTGGGTGTTTTGTTAAAACACAGATGGTGCGTTTAAGTTTCCTGTTATTTTTGGGAGCTACAGGTAAAGTCTTGACGAGTTTGTCGCGGGTCTGGGGGAGTTTCAGCCCCCACCCCTTCTCCTCCTCTCTCTCTCTCTCTGTGTCTCCCCGCAGCAAATTTCAGGCTCTGTAAATGCTCCGACACTGCAGCAGCCGCGTTCTGCTCTGAAATGTTTCTTTAGTTTGTTATTGCTACGAGCTCTCATGCTAAAGTGAGAGTTCACTCCTCCCACACTAAGAAAACAGCAGGGGAGGAGTCAGCTGAGCTCCTGTGCAGCGGAGCACAGAGAGGGARAGAGACGAAGTAAACAAACAAGCAGGAAAATGAAACTTATCGTCCTTATTTTTTTTTACCAACCTCAAAATAACTTATCGTGCAATTAATTGATTTATTGACTATCGCGACAGGCCTAAATGGAGTAACTTTTAGGATCAATATGGTCAACAACCGCTCAACATTACTATTGTATTTTTCTGTGGATTCTCAGTCATCCAGGACATGGAAAATTAAAAGAAAAAAAACTAGAAGCAACTGGATTTCTGTTCTGTAGCTGAAGACGTGTTGAGCTACAGGATTTACACTGGACTAACTCGAGGTTAGTGTCTTTATCGATCACCCCCACCTCTCTCATGTAAAACAACATGAACGTTCAGACTTCAGTCGCTTTGAAAAACATCAGATACGTATCAGATTCATACTAAAAAGACCTGGGTCAGATTTGAAATAACAAAAAATCGTATTTGTCATGTTCAGACTGTCATGACAAAATCCAACGTCATCTCCTGATGTGAAGTTTATGCAACGCAAGTTAAAATTGCATGTACAAATAAAATGAAGTGGTTGTTCTACATTGTTCTAAAATAAAAGCATTGCATAGTCATAGTGTGTTTTTGGTTCTATTCTCATAGAAAGTATAGATAAAAGAAATTAAATAAGTCAATACTGGATCAATAAGCAATATCCATTAGAGTAGTACGGACAAAATGTTAACAACAAATCCCTCTAGGTTGGATCTGCATCCCGAGTCCTTTCCTCCTCAGAGTACACCAGACTTTAAACTCACATAAAAAACAAAGAAAGAAATTGATATGACTTACTGTGGGTGCAGGTTGTGTTTAAGACCCAGTTTAGTCCAAACTGACCCAGGTGTAGGCTGTGGACTCTCTTCCACATCCAGCTCATGCCTGCAAGTACACAATACTGTTTCAGAAAACATTCGGTTTCCTCACACACAGGAACAAAGAGTGGATTTATTAAAGAAATGTGTGTGTCTGGATTTTTGGCACTAACATTTGTCCAGATTATAAATGTAAAGGAGAAACAAAATGTTTGAGACGGGACAAAATGAGCTCCTGGGTCCAGGAGATGAGACACGAAGGGATTTTCAGAATAAAGGTTTTGCCTTGTGTTTGATATGTCGAGTCTGTTAGAGCAGTGACATGTGACCTTCTGAAGAGTCCGGCTCAGTTTCAGAGCACACAAATTTAAAGACCAACCTTTTTATTATTTTATGTTAAAAACATATTAATTTGTCATGTTTTTCAAATGTCTTACAGCAAAATAATCACACATAAAACTATCTCAACTCAAAACATCTCATCAATCAAACTGACTTCGTGATTATTTTTTATTTAAAAAACTTATTTCTTATGTTTTCCTTTTAAACCATTTTTTGCTTCTATTGAAAACATTTTACCAGAGCCCATCAAAACAGCTCAAATATCTCTCAATGAATGTTGTGTATGTGTGTAATATTTCTCAATGAACTGTATTGTTGTGTCTCAGCAGGACTAACCTGTTTATTAAGGAAATGAAATGACTGCATGTTGGTGTGAAGTACTGTTATATTTGAACAGCCAGAACAGCCTGTGTATATGTACAACTCACCTGCTTTTGACTTTAAAACAACCTTTTGGTGGTTTATCATCATCTTCATCATCGTCATCACTGTCCCGCTCTAAGGTTCTGGTCTTTGAGCTGCACTGCTGGGCAGGAAGGTGAGCAGCCTGCTGAGAATCTGAGTGAAGTCAAATAAAAGTTACTTTTGGTTTAGAGTTGCTTTGATAACAGCTGTGCTCTTAGGAACTAGGGGTGTAAGAAAATATCGATACACTGAAATATCGTGATATTTCATTTCCCGATACTGTATCGATATTCTAAAGCCCTGTATCGATTTTTTTATTAAGCTTTAAAATGTCAACTTTCCTGCCAGCCGTTCATTTTTATGTTGTAGTTCAGCCTCTGACCACTAGTTGGCAGCAGTGAGCCAGCCATTTGGCTCCTCTTGTTACGGCCGGCTCAGTGCCCGCAACATAAATGAGAACACGACACAAGAGGAAATGG